AACTGGCCATAGGTTAAATTAGACAGCCAGCGGTTTCCACTTCTTGCTCTTTTATGCCTGTTTTGCCCTGATGGTTCACAGTCATGGTTTATAGCTATTGAAGCTGGGTAGGACTGTGGGATTGGCCCCTCCCTGACCCTGGCAGCTTGCATAGTATTGTCTGGAACTGTCGAGGCTAGAGCATAGGAAAGATGCTTTTAAGTCAGATCCAGCTCACGTCATCCGAGTGGTGTGTTCTGAGTGTGTGGTTTCTCCAGCAGTAGGGGGGCCACCCTCAACCTGTAAGAGACAACCAAGGGCTACATTGATAATCTCTCTTGTTTTGGGAAACATTCAGACTCCCTTCATGTCTGATACTGGGATTTTGTTAGTCTGTGGTTCTTGTGGGAACATTGTTAGCCTCAAGATGTGTGAGCATGCGTGAGTGCGCGCGCACACACACACACACACACACACACACACTTAGATGTACATATTCTCTGTGTAATAATGTGTGAGTGCACACACACACACTTAGATGTACATATTCTCTGTGTAATAATGTGTGAGTGCACACACACACACTTAGATGTACATATTCTCTGTGTAATAATGTGTGAGTGCACACACACACTTAGATGTACATATTCTCTGTATAATAATGTGTGAGTGCACACACACACACACACACTTAGATGTACATATTCTCTGTGTAATAATGTGTGAGTGCACACACACACACTTAGATGTACATATTCTCTGTATAATAATGTGTGAGTGCACACACACACACACTTAGATGTACATATTCTCTGTGTAATAATGTGTGAGTGCACACACACACACACTTAGATGTACATATTCTCTGTATAATAATGTGTGAGTGCACACATGCATTCGTGCACACACACACACACACTTAGATGTACATATTCTCTGTGTAATAATGTGTGAGTGCACACACACACACACTTAGGTATATATATTCTCTGTATAATTTTAGGTAAGTATAAAATATTATAATCCCCTTGATGTTATTTGTCCCTCCCCCACTGTTTCAAGCTTCCTCCCTACTCTCCAGTTGGAGTCCCCTCTGCCATTGTTACTCCATACCCTACTTCATCCCTGTATCCTGCTCTCTCCACCCTGCCACCCCAGCGTGTCGTGGTCCCTTTGTGCTTTTCAGGGTTTTGTCGTTACTCCAGCTAACGTACTCGCATCTGAAGACTTAGAATTAAGAACCACAGATGGGTTGTCTTTCTGGGTCTGGGTTACCTCATTTAATATAATCTTCTCTAGGTTCATCCATTTGCCTGCAGTTTTTCTTGATTCCATTTTTCTTTACAGCTCATTAGTATTCCGTTGTGTCTATGTGCCGTGTTATCCATTCATCTACTGAAGGACATTTAGGTTGTTTCCATTTCCTGACTGTTCTGAATAGGGTAGCAGTGAACGTAGCAATCATGACTAATGTATGGAGTACAATGTTGAGTCCTTTGGGCGTATGCCAAGGAGCGATATAGCCGGGCTGTATGGTAGACTCATCTTTAGCTTTTTGGTGATTCTCCATTCTGATTTCCAGAGGGACTGTATCAATTTGCACGCCCACTGCAGTGAGGTCCTTGTTCTCACGAGCATTTGTCGTCAGTTGTCTTGTTGATCTTGACCTTGCTGGCTTGGGGAGATGAAGTCACCAAAGTGTTTTAATTTGCTTTTCCCTGGTGGCTAAGGGTAGTGAACACTTGAGGTATTTCTTACCTCTTTTTGTTTCTTCTCCTGAGAACTCTGTTCAGAGCCATAGCTCATTTTCAATTGGACCATATTAACCGTCTGTCAGCCACCGAGCTGAAAGACCCTCTCCTGTTTTGTGGGTCTCTCCTTCACGTGTGGAGGCGAAGCTTCCCTCACTGGTAGCTATGTACTGTGTAGAGGCTCTTTGATTTATGAAGCCCTCATTGTCTTCTGTTGGCTTACTTCCTTGGCAGGTCGAGTCCTGCACAGAGTCCTTTCCTGGGCCTGTGTCCAGTAGGGAGCTGCATGTTGCCTTCCAGCAGTTCGCATGGTCCAGGGTTCAGATTGAGGCCTTTGATCCACTCGGGCCTGACTCCGTACGGGGTGCTGGAACTGGGTCTGGTTTCATGATCACGCGTGAACAGACAGCTGGATTCCCTGCACTGGCTGTAGAAGGTGCTGTCTTTCTCCATCACCGTATTGTTTTATTATAATGGCTCTGTCGTGTATCGTGAAGTCTGGACTAGCAATTCCCCCCCCCCCCCCCCCCCCCGCCGCCGTGCGCATTCTTTCTGTCCAGGATTGCTTTGGGTCTCAGGTCTTCTGGCTCCATATGAATTTTAGTTTTGTTTTTCTACTTCTATTTCTGTAAAGAATGCTGTGGGTGTTTTGACTGGGATTGCATTGAATCTGTAGGTTGATTTAGGTAGGATGGTCATTTTCACAATATTAATTCCACCAACCCACAAATGCAAGATGTCTTTCCATTTTCTGTGCCATTCTTAATCTCTTTCTTCGGATATTTTAAGTTTTTGTTGTGAAGGTCTTTTGCTTTCCTGGTTAGGTTTGTTCTGAGACATTTTGTTGTCTTGGATGTTCCTGGGAATGGGAATGTGTCTGTGGTCTCGTTTTCAGTGTGTAGTTTTGGTGTACAGAAAAACTACTGCGTTTTGTAAGTTGTTTTTGTACCCGCCACTGTGCTGAAATTATGTCTCGTTTTCTGGTGGAATTCTTGGGATCTCATGTATAATATTGTCTGCAGATAGAGACCGTTCGACTTCATTCCTGCTCGTGTCCCTCGAATTCTTTCCTTGCCCTGTCCCTCCAGCCAGCTTCTCGCATCCTATTGAAAAGGAGCAGGGATAGTTGAGGTTTGCTCCCTCTGGCCCTACTCTCTGGGGATTTTGTCACGAATGCACGTTAGGTCTTGTCAAAGGCTTTCTCTGCATCTGTTGAGATGATCATGTGATTTTTGTCTTTAAGTCCATTATGATTTATTACATTTATTGACTTACATATGTGCATCAACTCTGCATTTGTCAGATCAAGCCAGCTTGATTGTGGTAGATGGTACTGATATGTGCTGGTATTCTTTTTGCTGGAATTTTACTGAGGATTTTTGCATTTGTTTCCCATATGTGTGTGTGGGGGGGGGGTTGTGTGTGTGTATGGTGTGTGTGTGGTCTATGTGTGTGGTGCATGTGTGTATGGTATATGTGTGTGGTATGTGTGTGGTGCATGTGTGTATGGTATATGTGTGTGGTGTGTGTATGGTGTGTGTGTATGGTATCTGGTGTGTGTGTATGGTGTGTGTGATGTGTGTGTATTGTGTATGTGTGGTGTGTGTGTATGATGTGTGTGTGGTGTGTGTGTATAGTGTCTGTGGTGTGTGTGTGTATGGTGTGTGTGTGTGGTATGTGTGTGGCGTTTGGTGTGTGTGTGGTGTATGTGTGTGGTGTGTGTGTGTTTGGTGTATGTGTATATGGTGTGTGTGGGGGGGGTGTTATTCCATTGTGCCCATATCTGTTAAAGCTGCTTTATGTGTATATTCTTCCCCAACCATTTCTTGCTTGTGTCTGTTGATTTTGTTTTCAATAGTATAATCAAGAAGGAAGATTTTTATAACATAGTTGCTATCAGAACCAGAAAATGCACAGAAGACCAAGAGGGGTACTGTGTTACTGGGGTGGCATGTGGTGTGAGACTATTTATACAGGCGAAAAGTAGTTCTTGTATTTTCTTTGTGATTATGAAATTATTTTTGTACTGATGCTGTTTCCAAAATTGGAAAATATTGGCTAATCAAGTGTTTAATGAAAACGGTTACAAGGGTATGCCTAACCATTCTTCTCTTACACATGCGTGCACACACAGAGAGAGACAGAGATAGAGATGGACAGACAGACACACCGACAGACACACACACAGCTCATGCGTGCATGCATCCGTGCCCTGATAGGACCGCGGACTTGCAGAGCTGGAGGCGAGGGGCTGCTTCTTGCTCAGGTGCTGGGCATCCTCTCTGACACGCTCAGGGCCCTGCCGATTCGTCAGCTCACTGAAACAGACAAATCGGCATGATTCTGGGGGTGAAGAGGAGACCTGCTAGCTATCAGGAGGAGAGTTTGCTAAGCAGGGAGTAAAGAGGAAGTTCTGGGAAGGATCACCCCTGTCCACGTGTACCAGCCAGAGGAGCCTGCGTCCAGCCAGCCACTGCTGGGGTGTGGAGTGAGTTATGGAGGGGAGGGAAGGAGAAGGAGGCCAGCCGTGGGAAAGTCAGTGCTATTGGTATTTCAGTTGGGACAGAGGGACCCTGTAAAAACGGCTGCTGATGAGACACCTGCCTTCTGCACGGGCAGTGAAACTACTGCCAGGGATGTGACCACGTGATTAGAGAGGAGCAAGGACAGGGCACATGTGACTAAGCCAAATATTGAAGGGAAAGTTTCAGGTTGAGTTTCTGAGCCTTGGGCTGCCACCGTTAGGACCAAACTTGCTTCCCTGGCTGGAGCCATAGAGAACACCGAGAGTGTTCAGGGAGAGACTAGAACTAGAAGGGAGGAAATGGGAGGAGACCCGGGAGGGGAGGGCGGTGTGAGGAGTCAGCGAGAATCCCTCAAGGAAAAGAGTTTAAGACAAAAGGGGAAGAGGTTTGAGGAATAGAGAGTAGGAGTGGTAAGAGGTGTCTGTGCTGTGGCTGAATGGCCAGCCAGAGTCTTACGTGACTTCGCAGTTGACCAGGAAAGATTCCATTGCTGACTACAGTCCCTTTCGTCAGATCCTAGGCCACTCGTGGGAATTGAACTCACACTTGGTCGTTGCTCAACTACTTACCAGCGGTTTGAAGTGAGGACGGGAGTCACACCCTTGACCGTTGTTTGGCCATGAGGGTGTTTGAAGACCAATATGCGTCTCTCACCCTGAAATGAGGCTAAGTGTCTCTTCAGAAGTCTTCCTGCCAGTGTTGGAAATCCATTCTCATAGTGGTTTTTCTTTGTTTGTTTGCATAGCTTGGCGCCCGTGTTTGCTCTCTTTGTACCATTTTACTGCTCCATCCCAAGAGTCCAAGTGGCACAGATTCTGGGCCCGTTGTCCATCACAAACAAGACACTGATCTATATATTGGGACTGCAGGTACAGTATACATTGTATGTTCACATCTCTCTAACCGGATCTGGGTGGCTTTGGGTTTTGGTTTTATTTTGCTCTCTCCTCTTTTGTCTTTTTCTCCTTAAACAATGTTTCCATAAGTCTTGATGATCTCTATCATGCTCAGAGGAAGTGTTACGGAGCGAGGGCATCAGGGTGAAGATGGTGCTAGAATACTTTCATAGCCTCTAGAGATCTGATAAAAGCTTTCACTGTAACTTGTATCAGTGGAAAATACTTTCATTTAATCAATGTAGTTGTATGTAATTACATTTAAGAATCATAGTTTGAAGTGGAACAAAATGAGAATAGTGGAAAATGGAAAATCCATGTCAGAGTTGGTCTATCCTGTGCTGTGCCGCACACGAAGCTATGACAAGGACCCCAGCGTGCTCTGCTGTCCGAGCTGCAGAGTTTGCAGGAAGCATGATCAAGCTGAGTATCTAAGACTCAGAGACAGAAGCAGGCTCAAGGCCAGAACCCACTCTGGCTACAGAATAAGTAAAGCCTGTCTCAACAGGAGAGACTGGAGAGATGACTCAGTTAAGGACCCAGGGTCAGTTCCCAGCATTTCCCGACACCCTCTTCAGGCAGCCCATAACTGCTTGTAACTCCAGCTCCAGGAGATCCAACGTCGGCTTCTGGCCTCACCCGTAGACACACACACACACACACAAACACACATGAAATGAAAAAGAATACAAATCACTTCTTAAAGTGAGAAGACACCTTAGAGAAACCGCAGTGGTAAAATGCTTGCCCAGCAAGTCCAGCGCCCCAGGTCAAGGTCCAGCATGCGCTCTCCTACGGAGAGAAGGCGGAAATGGCATCTCCCACTTTGGTGCATACATGGTGGCAAAGTTGTGCTTTACCATGGCCTTGCTGTGAAGCCACCGGAGCCTTCGTCTGACTTGAAAAGCAAACTTTGAAGGTTGGCTGCCCTGGCACCCAGTGTGCAGCCTCTGCCCACAGCCTCATGTGCTAGAAGGCGTGGCGCTCTTTAGGTTTCTGTCTGTATTCTCTGGCATTTTCTTTACCTTTCATCTCGCAGCTTCCTGTGGCACCCTGTGCAGCTTGGCCTTTCGATTACCCCGTTATCGCTCACTGTGCTCCTTATCCCGCACATCCCAGACCAAACACCGCGCCCCTCCCCCTCCCCTTGTCACCCTCAGCGTTTCCTCCAGCTTCTCCAGTCTGCTGTCCATTATCGGTGACTCATCTGGGGTGTTCTCACCATGGTATGTTCACCCCTCGCCATTCAGCCCTACACCACGACACGTGGGTCCCTTCTCACTCTGTCTGCCCTGGCTTTCTCTGTCCGTCTGATTCTCCCTTCTCTGATGCTAGGTAAAAGCACCAAGGACAGAAAGGACTTCGTTACTTTATTAGTTACGGGGTGGGTGAAAGTCATTAGGACCTCGGGGGTTTCAGCTTGGTGACTACAGCCTCTTAGCCCTGCCCGAGGGAAGAGATGTCAGTGCCACTACCTCTGGTAGTTTCCAAGTCAATATAGAGGAGCACTGACTTGTGAGGCAGGAGGTAGTGTCGTATGGAAGTGGAGGTGTCTCCAGAATGAAAGCACCACTTCCCTGCTTCTCCACTGTGAAGTCCAAATGTCTAAAGTTTTCATCCTCCTTCCCTCCATACACTCTGGGTTTTCTTGCATATTCCATGTGTGTGTTTATGTGTTATACTTGTTACTATAGGTGTGTGTGCATGTGTGTCGAAACGAAAAGCAGACTAAATGTGTTTCCTGATTCCTTGACACCTTTGTTTTTGGAGATGGAGATTCACTGGAATCCGTCAGTTCTGCTCCTCCACCCTCCGAACGCTGGGGTCGCACCCATGCATCGCTGTGCTGACTTACTGTGTGTTCTGGGATCTGAACTCAGGTCTTCATGACGGTGTTGCAGGCACTCTGCACTGAGCTGTCTCCCACAGCTCCAGCTCCTCTTCTGCATATTTCTCTGGCTTTCTCTCTCTCTACCACGGACACTTGAAACCAGGAATATTAGACAGATGGATAGACAGGCAAATAACTTTAACCATCCTGAGAGCCGGAGTGCCATCGATGGTGGCTTAGAGATGTAGTAAATGTTAGGTGTTCACTTCCCGGGGAATCCAGTCCAGAAGCTCATTCATGCCCTTTCTGAGTGCAAATAGAAGCCTGGTGCTAAGGCAAGGGATGTCAGAGACTAAAGAAATTGTTCTTTTCCTGACAAAACGTCAAGCTGCTTTACGTGTGTATGAGAGACTAGGGTGACAAACACAGAGCCATGGGGCAGAGCGCCCCAGTCACTGCTCCTGGTGTTGCCTGACCCAGAGCAAGTCCTCGGTGGCTGAGAAGAAGCCTGGAGAGCAGGGCCTGGCTCTAGAAAACGGTGGCTGGTTTGGGATTCCTCCTCTCCCAAGAGGAAATGCTTGCTTACATCGTTATCATCCTTGTTACGAGAGCTGGGTATACATCGGCCTAGCGTCATGTCAGCAAAGTCAGGTGGACAGTGGAGTCACTGGAGCAAAGGCTGAAGCCTCCTTTCCCTCCGTACATGTCTGTGTTCCATGTTCCATGTATGTCTGTGTTCCATGTTTCGTGTATGTCAGTGTTCCGTGTTTCGTGTATGTCTGTGTTCTGTGTTCCGTGCATGTCTGTGTCCTGTGTTCTGTGTATGTCTGTGTTCTGTGTTCTGTGCATGTCTGTGTCCTGTGTTCTGTGTTCCGTGCATGTCTGTGTTCTATGTTCCGTGCATGTCTGTGTTCTATGTTCCGTGCATGTCTGTGTTCTATGTTCCGTGCATGTCTGTGTTCTATGTTCTGTGTATGTCTGTGTTCTGTGTTCTGTGTATGTCTGTGTTCTGTGTTCCGTTTATGTCTGTGTTCTATGTTCTGTGTATGTCTGTGTCCTGTGTTCCTGTGTTGTGTGTGCAGAGCCCTGAAGCGTCTGTCTCGCGCAGTGGCAGCAGTGAATCTGAGCTGTACCACTTCAGTACTCTCTGTCTTTCTCCATGGCTCTGCAGCTCCCCACTGAACCTTCCAAAACTATGCCCGAGCCACAGGGCCTTTCATTCTTATGGGACACTTGGAGATGCCTTGTGATTTGTTGTTGTTTTGTTTGTTAGAACCTTGAGCACATCTCTCAGACAAATTTGGAAAACGAAAGAAGAAATTCTTTTCTAATTCTAATTGGAATTAATTAGAAAATACAATTCTAATGCCCTTCATACCTTTGCTTTGTTTTTACTAGCATACTCTTTTTTTCAATTTTAACAACTTTATTTTACTTTTTTTAAACAAAATAAGATATAATAAGATAAAACAAAACAAACTCACAGGGAAATTGAATGAAGCAAACCAACAGAAGGAAAGAGCCCTAAGAGAAGTCACACAAGCCAGAGACCCACTCCTTCACACATCAAGGAGTCCCATAACGTCTGAAGCTGTAGCCACGCACAGAGGATGGGGAAGTAGCTATGCCTACCTTGGGTGAAGTAGAATGAGCCTTTTCATTCTGGAAAAGGGTGCTCTTGGGCATGGACTTAGATGCTGGCAAGTTCTCCAACCTAAATGTACACAAAGCAGTAATGAGAAATTAAAATTAGGAAAGTCATATGAACAGCTCGTAAAGATCATTACCTAGCCCCAAGGATGGACAATGGCTAGTATTTCTACATCGTTAATGCTGATTATGTATGTATAGTTGTTTACTGTAAGTCGCTACGGCCCACTTGTAAGTAAGAATGTGCTTGAAATTCAGTTATTTTCCTTTGCTTGTCAGGGGCCAGGTTCAACACGTGTTATCAACTACAGAAAGCCTGGAGCCTTTGGCTTAACAGCCTATTTTCTTTTAAATAAACAGAATTGTTATTCCTTTGCCTTCCCATTGCTTCCCTAAATTATGACATGCATGGTTGATGTGCAGCGGCGCAGTGCGTGAGGCTGCGCATGCTGCGGCTGCTGTGGGATCTCATTTTTAGCTGCCTTCTCTTTTCTTTTGTAGCTTTTCGCCTCTGGCCCCTACGTCTGGATTGTAGCCATAAGTGGACTTGTAAGTGTGATTTTTTTTTTTAACCTCCTTCCCCTGATATCTCTCATCTTTTAAAAGGAAAAAAAATGTGGGGAAAAAGTCATGCTTAGATTGTAGGTCACACACACATGTCTCCAGCGTTCTTTTACCTGTGTCGGGGGTAGCTTGATGTTCCTTCGTGACTGAAATAGCAGTTACATGGAAGACCAACATCATTCAAAGGAGAACAGTTGGTCCCGAGTTTCAGAGTGACTTGAATAAAGAAGGTTTTCCATGGGGTTTTTGTCAGTGTTGTTTTAAATGGCATCAGTGGTCTAATTCATAGCAAAAAGAGACAAAGAATGGAGATGCCAGGCCCTCCTGAGCAGGACAGCTACTCCATTTCAGGGGAGCTTCTCCACTTCAGGGGAGCTTCTCGACTTCAGGAGAGCTTTTCCACTTCAGGAGAGCTTCTCCGCTTCAGGAGAGGTACTCCACTTCAGGAGAGCTTCTCCACTTCAGGACAGCTACTCCATTTCAGCAGAGCTTCTCCACTTGTGTAAGAGACATGGTTGTGGAGGGAAAAGATGAGGTGACTTGCCAAGTCAGGTGGGTCAGAGCGGGACAAAGATCACGGTGTTTGTGGCCAGATGGGGGAGAAGGGAGCATGCTGGAGGCTTTGGTGTCCTCATCTGGAGATTTCCCAGGTCCACAAGAATTCATTGCACTTTAGAAAACACTTTAAAAGAAATGTCGAGCATGCAGCTGAGATTGATGCCTCATGACCTGAATGTAAACTTGTGGAAATAAATTTGTAACAAGTGTACATAGAAAATAGTTTTCATCTCTTTCTTTTAAAAGTTAAGAAAATTACAGAATGGGTTTATAGAAATATGTGTCGTATCAAGGGGGGACAAATACTTCCCCACTGCAGACCCTGTCAGTCAGCCACACTGATCCTTGTTTTCTGAAGGAGTGACTAGGACTTTGGGACACCCTGAGGGCTTGTGACACTTTCTCCAGACTCTCTGAACTCTGATAGGTCACTTCTGACAGTATGCAGTCATTCACTTCCCTCATCTTGTGCTCCCAGCCAAGGTTCTGAGGATCATTCACCCAGGACCCCATAGTGAGGCTTCCAGGGGACAACTGGTTCTCATTTCCCTTCCCCTTCCCCCAACCCCTCTCTCCTCTCTCCCTGTCCTTTCTCTTCTCTCTCTTCCTCTTCTCTCCCTTCTCTCTCTCCTCTCTCCCTCTTCTCTCTCCTCTTTGTTCTCTCCTCTCCCATCCCCTCCCTTCCCCTCCCCACTCCTCTTTTCCCCTTCCCTCCCCTCTCCTCTTCTGTTCCCCTCTATCTTTTCTCCTCTTCCATCTCCTCCTGTCCCCTCTCCTCCCCTCCTCTCCCCTTCCCTTCCCTCCTCTCCTCTCTCTGTCCCCCTCTGTCTTCTCTTCTTTCTCCCCCTCCACTCCTTTCTCCTCCCCTCCTCTCCTCTCCTCCCCCCCTCTCTTTCCTCCCCACTTCCCCCTTGTGCCTGGGTTTATTCTGCCCCCCCCCACACACACACACACTCACCTTGAGCTCACAGCTGTCCTGTCCTGCTAGGATCACAGTTGAGAGCCATCTGGTGTTCTTGAGACCTGTGGTGGTTTAGGGTCATTCTGGGGTCAGTTTTGCCATGAGAGCTGCAGGTAGGAGCAGTGGCATCAGAGTTTTGCCGGCAGTGGTGATCTCCAGCCTCATTTTCGGATGTTCTAAAGCATGCAGGAACATGGGAACCACCTTTGTCACCGTGCGGGTTTCTGCAGGCTCATTACCAGCTGTAACGTGTCTTTCTTAATAACACACTGTGATACGTTTGTTTTAAGTGTCCTATTTTCTTTCTTTTGCTATTCTGTTTTTAGACTTCTGGTGGTAAATTCAGTGCTTACTGTCACCTCAGAAAGTTTCATTCTGTGACAGTCGGGTTCTAGAACTGGGGGATGCATTTCTCAACTGTTAGTCTTTCTAGAGTCTTCTAGAGTGTTGAGGTGGAAGCCGTGTCTCTTCCAGTCTGCGTCCGAACAGCCAGTAAGCGAGTTAACCTTTGAAAGGACTCAAGGGTCCTAATAATTTCCAAAGAAAGATCCTTTTTTTTCCCCAGAGGAGTAAATAGGTCCCTGGTGTGTCTTACATAGAATTCCAGGATGACTTGGCATTTCAAGGAATCTGTTATCATTAACCATTCATGAATCAATTGAATTTTCTTTTACAGTAATTATCCCAAATGATAAAAAATCTGCTAAATCTTTATATTAATCTCTTATTTTTCCAGCATATAGATAAGACCTTGTTTGTTTCTGATGACTGCTCATGAGCTGAGCGTGTAAGGTGCCCCCAGCACTGATGTGTTGGTTAAAATAAAATGATTGGTAGCAGTACTAATCGAGTGAGTGTTCTTTCCTGCAGTGCCCTGCGTGCTGGCGCTTGTTACCGAGTGCTGCTTCGCTCTGACACTCTCTTCATGAGGCCGTAGGTCATATATCACAGGCTGGGAGGATGAGGGGGTTTGGTTTATAAGCAGAGCATGGTGCTGCACCCCTATAATCACAGCATTCAAGAGGCAGAAGCAGGAAGATTGTGAGTTCAAAGCCAGCCTAGGCTGCAGAGGAAGCTCCTGTCTCTAACAAGCAAAACCAGAACAATAGCCTTCTTTGTGAATGGCTCCCTTGCTGACCAGTGAGCTGAGAGTCACAAAGCCACAGTCCATCCAGAGGCCTCTTGCTCAATGTGACTTCTCTTTTTCCCTTTAGATGACTTAACTTCCTTTTTCTTTCTTCCTTTTGGTTTTAATGCTAACTAAAATACCTAAACATTAAAAATCATGCCACAAGAAAGAATTGTACAGACGGCATTCCTTATTGCAAACAGTATTACAAAACCTCTCTGTGGGGCCACCAAATGACCTGGTGGGCACTTGCTGCCCAGCCTAACGATTCAGTGACCCCCACTGTGGAAAGAGAGAGCAGACTCTTTGAAGTTGGTCATTGAGCAACACACACATGTGTACATGCATGCGTGCATGCACAAATAAATGTCATGAAAGTTATTACCTGTATGAGCATATATATATTTAAACTTTCAGTATTGGAAGCCATTATGTATAAAAAGACTGTGTTTGTGAAATAATTTTACTTAACTCTGGCAGTTAATATGTGGTTTGTTTTATTTGGGGGCAAGTGGGCTGGACTGGGGATGTACCTCAATGGTAGGATGCTTGCCTAGTATGCATAAGATTCTGTGTTTAGTCCCTAGCGCCAGGGACATTGTGTAAAACAGAGGTTCTCAACCTGTTAGGGGTTACATATCAGATATCCTGCATATCAAATATTTACATTACAGTTCATAACAGTAGCAAAATTACAGTTGTGAAGTATTGACAAAATAATTTTATGTTTTGGGGTCACCACAACATGGGGAAATTTTATTAAAGGGTTGCAGCATTAGGAAGGCTGAGAACCACTGGTATAATACATAAGTTATTTGTTATTTGCTGTCTTCGAAACTAAAAGCTATTCATGTTTTATAAGTTATTTGTTATTTGCTGTCTTCGAAACTAAAAGCTATTCATGTTTTCCTGGAAAGCTCACTTCAGTTTGAGTTTAAGTTTATTATATGCTGATTTCTGTTAGTTTGAACAGTTTTTATCTCTTCTTGTGTTGTTTCTTCTTAATGATTACACATGAATGAAGCTTCCAAAATTCAGTGCCAAGTACAGATACCTGATTCATGAGGAGCCACCGCTTTCCGGGTTTCCTTTGGATCCATGGGAAATTCTCGGAGAAGATTCACATAGGGCAACAAAAGGAATCTGTAACACAAAGGATGGATTAAGGCCAAGTGGGGTTCATGGCTAGCAGGTAGGGGGAGCAGAGTAGGGGGCTGAGGGGGGTTGGGGGGCTGCTCGCTGTCCCTCTGGCACCAGGCTGGTGGGATATTTAGCTCGTGTGGTTCTGCCACGAGCTCTGTAGCCATCTCTGTCCCGGTACTTCTCCATTTCCTGCAGTTTCGTGAATCGTAGTAATGAGTCATAGCCACGAGGATGTACCTTGACTCTCAAAAGTGTGGTCCGCCTCAGCCATGATTAAAACAGAAAGAACCTGCTTCTGCCAAGTTTATGTTCTCACAGTCCACATCTTATCACTTGCTCTTTTTCAAGCTGTTTAAGAGCAGATTAACTGCCCCTCTGTCTCCCAGTCCCCAGGAGCACGTGGCTCCCGCACAGTACCCTTTGTACTTGCCCTGCACAGCACATCAATCAGACTTCGGTTATCTGGTGATCGATCTTAGTGTGAAAAAGAATCTCTTACCCACTATAGGGTAGAAATGTACATGGAAGCCAGATTGTATCGAACCCTGAGTGTGGTTTGGGCTGGGGTTGTTTTCTGTGGGCAGTTAGGCTCTTCAAAGCTCTTCAAACAAACATTCAGATGGTACAAGATTGTAGCTCCTGCTGGGTTTTCATAAACGCGACGGAAAGGGAAGATGAGTTACCTCAAAGCGGTCAGGTGTCTCCTGTGCGGGCTCTGATTTGCCTGCCTCTTCTTCACATGGCTTACTTCTAAAGACAAAAACAAATAAGTAAACAAACTAGTGTCTTAAGACTGGTGGAAATGTGGGTAAATTTGGGGGCTCTGACCCTTTCCCCCTGGTGGTGAGAACTAACGTTGTGTGGGCCTTCGGCTTGGGTGTGTCTTTTTCTTCTCTTTGTGTTTCCTTTTTTTTCTGTCTATTCCTTTTTCCCCAGACTTTTCATGCAGACTGACCAAACAGAGTCAGGGAAGGAAGCAGGGTGAATAACTACTGTATTGATCAAGGCCTTCAGTTAAACTCTGGGAATTCACAAGCTAGAGTCCCAAATTTAGCAGTTCATTGGAAACAAAGTCAGAGGCTACAAGAGAAATCAAAGCTGGCTAAAAATTTGAGTTTGCTTGGCCTTGAAGGCCCACAAGGAGCAAGACCACCCAAGACTCCAAGGAAACACACACACTTAGAGGGAGCCTTC